TAAATATTGTTAAGAATAGTGCCACAACTTCAGCATCACTTATGCGCATCATTTAGTCAATGGTCATAGTTACTTCCACTTTACACTGGACGGTGAGCAAACATACCACTGTTGTAGGATAAACTACCACCTTCCGTACACGGGAATACTACCACGTTTCCCCATCGGCGCTCGTCGGCGTTTTCTGTGCGACCACCCGTGTTAAAGGGACCCTCCCACCAGTGTTCGCCACGGGCCGCAAAATCCTAGTCCAGCCCAGCCCAGGCCCATGGGTTCACAGCCCGGCCCAGCCCGAGCCCATTCATGGTAAAAGCGTCAAAGCCCAGCCCGGCCCAGCCCGTCAAAAATGAATGGGTTAGAAATTATTGACACCGCACAGATACCCAAAGGTAGCAAAGAAACAATATTTTGCGAGCCGCATGCACAATGCACATTGCATGCGTGCTTTAATGACTCGTTTTTGAGTCTTACACAGTAATAAGCTATGTAGTTATAGTTTTTGTCTCAGTTGCGAACCCCTGACTCAACTTAAAGGGACCCTCCCACCTTAACATTAGATTTGAGTTGAGATAGCCAAAATGGGGTCCCTGGCTCACAATTACCGGTTTCGGCACTCACAACATCGAGAAATGCCTTAAATCGGAAATATTGAATTTCAAAATTGCAGCATTTTGATTCAGAGGGGCTAATGCTTAGGAATACCCCTCTGAATGTGTGACGTCAGCGCAAATATCTAACGATTTTTAAATGTTTGACTAAAACGTTTTGTAGCACGCGGTGGTATATGCTATTTGCGCGCAACATCTGCCGCAAACGCCGCACTTCTAAAATAAAGTCGCTAGAAACAGCGGAGATCCCAAAAAAAGTAAACAAAAGTAAAAGTCTAATATCTTGAAAACCGGTGAATATTTTTCGATGAAATTTGGTAGATATTGGTTTTCGCTCTTTCTGAACCGAGCGACATCACTTTCATGCCAATTCATTGACTTTTTTGAAGGTGGGAGGGTCCCTTTAACAGTTCATGGCCCAGCCCATCCACAGCCCATCGATCCTTCATATTTGAGGGCCCAGCCCAGCCCGTAGCCCAGCCCAGCCCATGGCCCATTGGGCTGGCCCGGCCCATGGCGAACACTGCCTCCCACCTTAACATTAGATTTGAGTTGAGATAGCCAAAATGGGGTCCCTGGCTCACAATTACCGGTTTCGGCACTCACAACATCGAGAAATGCCTTAAATCGGAAATATTGAATTTCAAAATTGCAGCATTTTGATTCAGAGGGGCTAATGCTTAGGAATACCCCTCTGAATGTGTGACGTCAGCGCAAATATCTAACGATTTTTAAATGTTTGACTAAAACGTTTTGTAGCACGCGGTGGTATATGCTATTTGCGCGCAACATCTGCCGCAAACGCCGCACTTCTAAAATAAAGTCGCTAGAAACAGCGGAGATCCCAAAAAAAGTAAACAAAAGTAAAAGTCTAATATCTTGAAAACCGGTGAATATTTTTCTGTGAAATTTGGTAGATATTCGTTTTCGCTCTTTCTGAACCGAGCGACATCACTTTCATGCCAATTCATAAACTTTTTTGAAGGTGGGAGGGTCCCTTTAAACCAATGGGGAAGAGTGGTTGTCAAAATCGCCGACGAGCGCCGTTCATTGGTCGCCCAAATGGTCTCCTACTACGTGGTAGGTACGCGGCGTGGCGTATTACGGGACGGGACGCTCACCCACCGCGCCGGCGGGTGAGACTAAATGCTTACTTCGAAATCTAAGCTGCGTTGCGGCATTGGCGGTTATGTGCGGCGTGTATGCCGCATGATTAGTAAGCGGCGACCACTAAATTAAAAACTCAATAGCTTTGACCTGTTTTCAATGGATAACACTGCATACCAAAAATGTCCATCGCTCTCGTCATAGGATATTTAGATTTAAATAACTAACTTATCTACGCAGAGCTAGCACATAGCTCTGCGCGAGTGCTGAAACAGGCCCGAATGATTGTTTGTGTGACATTTGGTTGTCTTGCCACTGCACTGACTGAAATCATCAGTATTTAAGAGTATGGACCCAGAGTCTGAAATAAAGCTTATCTATCTATCTATCTATCTACATCATTGTTTTGAACCAAATTAATACTTTCAACTTGACCCTCGCCCGTATTTGTGTTTTTCCATCCGCGAACGTATAAGGTATAACCCCTTGCCGTTTCGCTCCTGATCAAGCTAGAGCTTCGCGGAAAAAACGAGCGTGTTGCCCGTGACGAGAGGAAGCCGATGATACCCAGTTTTAAGGTCCTAGGTCATCGGTTGACCTTCCAGGTCAGGTCAATGACCCAAAAGGCGGGAAAATTGGGACCTGTTAGAACGTCGTAGTGTGGCTGCTATGGGGTTTTTCGGGGTGCTGATCACGAATATCATGCTAGTTTTGTTCACAGATGATGTCTTCATTCATTTAGGCCAGGTCGGGTTAGGTCAGGTCAGGTCAACCAGTAGAGGTCCTGCCGGGTATTTGTAGTAGGTGTCAACCGCCTCTGACAGCCTCGTAACATGTTACGAAGGCACCAAAACTACTTTGTAAACGTTCATGTGATTGCTTAATTCGAATTCAGCTAGAAAAAAACTGGCCTAGAAACATGTCAAACTCGAAAAAGTGAACCGAGGTCACCAAAGGTCAATGAACTGACCTGACCTTCAGGTGACCTTTACACCCACCCTAATGCATGGGGGCAACATCATATCACATGTTTGAACGCTTGAAACCACGAAAAGACTGCAAACGCGCTGCTAATGCGAGCCGACATACGCTGAATCGCGGTTCCGGCCAAACATGGTCTCGAAAAGTAGGTCACAGGTCAAAGGTTATTTGCGTCAGGGTCATGAAATTTTCAGGGTAGGTGTAAAATTGATCAACGCGAGGGTACTAAAATTTACGTCGTGACCGGCCGCTTTTTACGCGAGTTATTTGCGAAAAACCGAGGGGAGTCCGTTCGACCCCCCCCCCCCCCTATAGGGCGAGGGTTAACTCACAGTCCGAACTCCGAACAAGTTCGGTCTTGTTTGTGAATTTGTCGGAGCATCACCTAAATCTAGTAGAGATGATGGAGGGAAACTAGGCTTTTAAGGAGGGAAGGGAGTCGGTGGCGGTCAGGGGCACTACAAGCTGGTGACAGGGCTGACATAGGTACCATGTTTTGATAGCGTGACTGAAACTTTTTGGGTAGCCAGGAAATCGCATGTGAGAGCCTATTGAAATTCTTACATCGGCCTTTATATGCACCAGTCGTATACTGAGGTGCGGGATTTGGCATACGATTTCCAGACAATCGAAAGACTGTTTGGAGCCAACGAAGGAAGGAATGAGTGAGTACTAAGTTGAAAGCATTAATTTGGTTCAAAATAATGATGCAGATAACTTAGTTATTTAAATCTAAATATCTTATGACGAGAGCGATTGGCATTTTTGGTATGCAGTGTTATTCATTGAAAACAGGTCAGAGCGTTTCAGTCTTTAATTTAGTGGTCGCCGCTTACTTATCATGCGGCATACGGGGAGCATTCATTCTGGCCAGGGTTCATAATGTCCAGGGTACGCTATGCCCAGTGTCAAAATGGCCAGTGCCTTGAATGGGCCAGAGTTCATAATGTCCAGGAATTGCATGGTCCAAATGTGGCCAACTGGCTGCAGATAGGGTATATTCAAAGAGGCCAGGGTTCATAATGTCCAGGGCACGATGTGTCCAGTGTTCAAAATGGCCAGGGTTCATAATGTCCAGGGCACGATGTGTCCAGTATTCGAAATGGCCAGGGTTCATAATTTCCAGGGCACGATGTGTCCAGTGTTCAAAATGGCCAGTGCCTTGAATGGGCCAGAGTTCATAATGTCCAGGGATTACATAGTCACTGAAAGTGACGTCATTGTGTAAAAAAAAAACACGGAATCAGCTCAATGCAAAGCAGTGCAGTGCCGAAGGCAATGCCTTAGGAGAGATTACAGGCAATAGTAAATCAAATATTTTTAGGTTAAGTGGTTATGTATCTGGCTTCAGGCCGAAGGCCTGAAGCCTGATGCATAACCACTTAACCTAAAAATATTTGATTTACTATTGCTTGCAATCTATTCATGCGAGAAACTATTTCCTTATCCCTGGTAGGCAAACATCATTACCTTAGGTTAGGTTAGGTTAGGTTAGGTTAGGTTAGGTTAGGTCAGGTTAGGTTAGGTTAGGTTAGGTTTGGTTGGGTTGGGTTGACTATGTAATCCCTGGACACTATGAACTCTGGCCCATTCAAGGCACTGGCCATTTTGAACACTGGACACATCGTGCCCTGGACATTATGAACCCTGGCCATTTTGAACACTGGACACATCGTGCCCTGGACATTATGAACCCTGGCCTCTTTGAATTTACCCTATCTGCAGCCAGTTGGCCACTTTTGGACCATGTAATCCCTGGACAATGTGAACACTGGCCAATTCAAGGCACTGGCCAATTCGAGCACTGGACACATTGTGCCCTGGACATTATGAACCCTGGCCTAAATAATACGCACCCGCGGCATACACGCCGCACCGCACATAACCGCCAATCCCGCAACACAGCTTAGATTTCGAAGTAAGCATTTAGTCTCACCCCGCGCCGGCCGTCCGGCCGGCCGCCAGCTGACTGCCGCCGTGGGGAAGGGACGCCGAGGGGAGGGGTGACGTCCGTCGGGCCAGCCAGGGGAGGGGTAGGGATTCGGGCGCAAAATTTCACTCTTTCGTTTGTTATATGGTGTATTTAGGCTGCGTTCGGACAGCCCGGTCACTGCGTGAAACTTCTACGCCGAGGAATTCCTCACGCAAACGCGTTTGGTCAGCGCGAAACGCTATGGCCAAACGGCCGAAAGGTGATCGTTTCCGTGAGGAGCTCATCGGCGTAGAAACTCCACGTGGAAACCGGGCTGTCCGAACGCAGCGTTAGCGATCAAACCGCTGCTTTTAATCCATGTTGTAATTACAGATTCGTGTACATTGTACATACACAGCCCCGTAGCCCGCTTGATACGGGCTACGGGGCTGGGAATAGCAGCACTTAGAAGTTAATTACTTAAAAAAAAACATTCCATTGCCTGTCCGACAACCAAAGAGCCATGGGCAGTGGGCAGCCGGTGCTGCGACCACAACATGAGTACAACTTGTGGTCGGCGACCACCAAACACCTTTTTTGAGCCCTGAGCACACCTATGTGGATTTCACCGATTTGAGAAGTCCAGAAACGCCAGGCAAGGTGGCTGCACCCTGATAAAAGAAAAAAACGGCGACCGAGCCGCACTCCGGTGGCATTGAGGTGTGGCAACCCACTCGAGTGGGCGGGGCTCCAGAGTTGGCCCCTGGGCGGTAGGCTGTTCCGCCGGCGAGGCCAAGGGTCACGGCGCGGGCCAGTCTGGTGCGCGGGTCACGAGCGGTAGACGGTGCACGGGGAGCTGCGGTGGACGACCTCGCCCCGGAAGGCGAGAGGCGACCTCAACCTAGTGCTAAAGTGCAAAGGGTAAGAGTAAAGAGAGCTTCGGCTGAGTCACCGCGCCTGAGCTTCAGTTGAGCTGCGGTCTCTCATCCGCCTCCAGTGATTTTATGTCTAATTGATTTTTTGTACCGTAAGTAAAAGTTTGGCAAGAAAACCAAAAAGGCTATTTGGTTTGGTTTAATAATCATTAATCAAGAAAGCTTCCAAAAGATAATAATTTTATGCTTTTATCACGTTTAGAAGTAAAAAGTAGGACTTCGAGACGCGCGCACCGACACGGGGGGCGGATATCCGCCCCCCCCCCTTTGGTTTTCGCGGATAGCGGGAAAAATGCGGCGCGTAACGCCGCGAAATTTGGTACGACTATTCTCTCATCAATTTTACACATGGTGTGCAAGTTTGAACCTCCTAACTTTTAAGGTCAGGTCACCAGGTCACTTTGAATGACCCAACCTCGTCACTTTTTTGCAACTTTGTCACCGTGCCAGAGCTACAGTAGATGGGCGGAGGCCTTTGAAAGTCGCAGGATGTTATTAGGTCATTAGTAGCTACAATTTGTATATTGATATCTCGGAATTTTGATGTCGGTGACCTAAGGTCAGGTCAATTTCGCGACCTCCCCATTATAAGTCAATGGGGGAAAAATCAACTCCCTGTTTTTACCACTAAAACGGGTCGGAATGGCCCCATATACCATACGTCCATATATGACTTCATATACGATCAACCTTCACTACCTTGAGGTCTGTTTTGCTGTTGGGCAGCTGTAAGGTCATGTGACGTCATCAAAGGTCACCAAAGTTTTTTTTTTTGCCAATAACTCGGTACAGGAACAAGATACAGCCGCGCGGATGGTCTCATGGTGTTCAGCTCGTCAAGACGCATCTAAAGATATACATGATGACCTCGAGGTCACGTGACCTGAGGTCAACCTTTGACCTTGACCTTTCGAGGTCAACATATATATCATTCGATGCGGATTGACGAGAGGATCACGATGATTCCCTTAGTTTGTTCCTATCTTGACTAATTCGAAAAAGTTATTCGAGAAAAACTCTCTTCCTATCTAGCGCCGCCATTTTGACTTTTTCGACCCCTGTGACGTCATCTTTGACCTGACCTGAAAATGACCTGTGTAAAAATTGTAGACCTTGTCCGTGCGTATCCGATGCCGTTTACCGCTTGTCGCTATCGTGCTTCGTTCTCGAGATCTCGGGGGGGGGGGGGCGGTCATCCCCCCGTCGGTACGAAGTTGGCGCATACCCCCGTCGGTGCTCGTGTTAATTACACCCGTTGACTTAGCAAACTACCTGCATCGTCATAAGTAACGTTTCGGCTTCAGCTCGTTTGCTGTTTTTCAGACAATCTGACCATTGACTATATGAGATCCCCGTAAAAAGACTGTGGCCAAAAATGCTGAATGCCTAAACGATTGGGGCCGTTTAGCAATGGGTCGTTATAAATCATTTTGTGCTTTGATTCGGAGTAGACATTTGCCTATCCGTCCAAATTGTATACAATGTTACGAAACATTATTAATCACGGTAGGGTATGACTCATGTCGTGTCTCCCTGGCCTGCCTCAGGGTTGTGTCGCTGTTCCGCTACTGTTACCTGTGACCGCCGAGAGATGGCACCACTGCGGCGTCTGGCGGCGCTACTGGTGGTGGCTGCTATCGGTTCCTGTCTCGGTACAGAGCATGAAGAGGAGACACAGCAGCTGCCCGTGGCCTGCCCCGTGAACAGCTGGTGTCTGCCCACTGGACTATGCGACCCCGACTACGTCATTTTCGACGCTAAAAATCCGATGGTGGGTAGAAGTCACGTCTGTTTCCATAATTTATGGTCGCTCGTTGTTCCGTAGACCGTATTCCTCGACCAATCTCTCCTTGTTCCACTGGTCGCGCCTAAAAATGAGTTCATTTTGCTACTAGTAGATGCTGGTAAGTCAGGCTCAAATCTGTGGGGCGATGTCTGTCTGTAGATAAGTCTGTTCCGATGTCCCTTTCCATCGGACGACCGACAGAATTGGACAGAACGGGACGGGACGGTATATCCCTGGTCCATCCATTTATAAGAGCATTCTAACGCGCCCCCACCGTCCCAGGAGGGGTCGGCACCGGGCGAGTACGTGTGCGGTGTCACAGACACCACGGTCAACTACGTCTGCTGCGACACACAGGAGCTGCTGCCGCACCACTTCAAACCGACGCCCTTCCGATGGTACTTCCAGAGAAAGGTACGCATAGGAGGGCCGGTGAAATGTTCAATATCAGTCGTCAGACGACAGTTTTGGTGGTTTTTATATGGTGTTATTGTTTGGCAAGTAAATAACAATTACCTATTCGAGCCTTAGCCCTTAGCCATAATTGGAATAGGTATTTAAACTTATAAGGAATGGTGTTCGTATCAGCCATCAGGTACGTATTAAGACGTTTTATTTAAAATCCCGGTAAAAGATGCGCATGTGTACCTGCTCGCGGTTTAAAATATAATTTTGTTTCATTCTGTTGACTTTACCTACACCTTAACCCTCGCATGTGTGCGGCGTTTGCCAGCTTCTAATGTGTAGGGGGGGGGGGGTCGGTTGGACCCCCCCCTTGCCGTTTGGCCCCTGGTCGAGCTAGAGCTTCGCGGAAAAAACGAGCGTGTTGCCCGTGACGAGAGGAAGCCGATGATACCCAATTTTAAGGTCCTAGGTCATTGGGTGACCTTCCAGGTCAGGTCAATGACCCAAAGTCGGGAAAATCGGGACCTGTTAGAAAGTCGTAAAGTGTGGCTGCTAAGGGGTTTTTCGGGGTGCTGATCACGAATATCGTGTTAGTTTTGATCACAGATGATGTCTTGAAGCATTTAGACCAGGTCGGGTCAGGTCAGGTCAGGTCAACCAGTAGGCGTCATGACGGGTATTCGTAGTACGTGTCAACCGCCTCTGACAGCTTCGTAACATGTTACGAAGTCACCAAAACTACTTCGTAAATGTTCAAATGGTTGCTAAATTCGAATTCAGCTCCAAAAACTAGCCTAGAAACATGTAAAACTCGAAAAAGTGACCCGAGGTCATCCGAGGTCACCAAAGGTCAATGACCTGACCTGACCTTCAGGTGACCTTGACACACACGGGAGTAACATCAAATCACATGTTTGAACGTTTGAAACCACGAAAAGCTTGCAAACACGCGGCTAGTGCGAGCTGACATACGCGAAATCGCGATTCCGGCCAAACATGGTCTCGGAAAAGAGGTCACAGGTCAAAGGTCATTTGGGTCAGGGTCATGAAATTTTCAGGGTAGGTGTCAAATTGATCAATGCGAGGGTACTGAAAGTTTCGTCGCGATCGGCCGCTTTTTACGCGAGTTATTTGCGAAAAACCATGGGGGGGGGTCCATCCGACCCCCCCCCCCTACACATGCGAGGGTTAAAATGACAACTTTTTCTCGTCACTATATACCTATATTAGTTCAATTAATCATACGTCTTTATAAGCAATTACATAGTTACTTCATGTTAGATGTTTCCGCGTGGTAGTAAATTTGAAAAGGTGTTTGATTTAATTAAGGCATAAGCTGTTATATCTGGCTGAATGAATTCGGTGAATGAAAAATGAGGCGTTTTCGGTAAAATAAACGTTTATCGGTGCGTGTGTAATTCTAATAAACTTGCTTGATCCTTTATTTTCGATAGGTAGGTATTAACAGATATTATTCATTGGGTCCTATTATAACCGAAATGGGCATTAGTTTTGATCTAAAAATGCTTTTCCGGTTTTCAGAGACGATTTTCGATTTTTGGCCCCGAAATTCGGTTTTTGGCCCACCGTGTCCGATGTAATTGAGTAATCGACTCGCGGTAACTTTCATCGCCTTTCCTATGCCACAAGCTTTCGAATGATATCTGGTTTTGCATATTTGCGTGCAAAAATAACGTCATAAATCTATGTTAAAGTAAGAAAATGTTGAAATTTTGTAAAAATTTGACATTTTTTTCGATTTCATTTCAAAATAGAGGAAAAACTAAAGGCCCTATCCAAATTCTGGGCCCAGTTCCTTGAAGAGCATTCAATTTCCGTTCGGAAGGTACCTTTTTAGTGCATTTTATCGGATTCCTGTGGCGTCCAGATTGAGTTAACCTAAACACATATCCTAAGTCATATCATATAGCATTAACCTGATAACGTATGCTAACGCCATAGGATCAACGAGGGGTCAACTGAGGTCATGTTGTTGACCCCTTGTGACCTCGGGTCACACGCAGGAACTTACTTTTGAGCAGTCCTGTCGCTCAGAATCTTGATCTGTACCTCCATTTGTTAGAATGATTCTTCATGCACTGAACACATATTGTCATGGAAATGGCTGGGGGCCCGTTTTTCAAGTGACTCAATCTGGACGCCACAGTAAACCGATAAAATGCACTAAAATAGTACCTTCCGAACGGAAATTGAATGCTCTTCAAGGAACTGGGCTCAGAATTTGGATAGGGCCTTTAGTTTTTTTTTTCTCTCTATTTTGAAATGAATTCGAAAAAAAATCAAATTTTTACAAAATTTCAATATTTTCTTACTTTAACATAGATTTATGACGGTATTTTTACACGCAAATATGCAAAAACGGATATCATTCGAAAGCTTATGGCATAGGAAGGGCGATGAAAGTTACCGCGAGTCGATTACTCAATTACACCGGACACAGTGGGCCAAAAACCGAATTTCGGGGCCAAAAATCGAAAATCGTCTCTGAAAACCGGAAAAGCATTTTCAGATCAAAACAAATGCCCATTTCGGTTATAATGGGACCCAATGAGTCCAAAAAAATCGGTCGTTACTCAGGAACAAAATGCCTGTTGCATAGTGTAATCGGCCCTTTCTATTCGGTCCCACGTATCTGATATATCATTAGGAAACTGCGAGTCGCAAATCTATAATTTGACTTATGACGTCACTGTGACGTCATTTCAAATGAGATCGACACCGAATTTGGACACAACCTTGGCTAGGTATTCAGGAAGGTGTGTGCAAAGTTTCGCTTCTCTATCTCTTCGCGTTGCGACGATATCGTCGCAGAAGTAAAGGGGGGCAACTACATATATGCCCCCCCCCCCCCCCCAGCGGCCGGCGGGTGGCGCTGAGGCCCAGCGGCCGCCGGGTTAAGTTTTACAGCCCAAAACATATCGGCGGTACGGGATAAAATTATTAAACCGCTCGTAAGTATATTTTTTTAATGTCTCTCCTATCGGCTCGACGTTTAAAAGATTTGTTCTACCTGCTCGCGGTTTAAAATATAATTTTGTTTCATTCTGTTGACTTTACCATACACCTTAAAATGACAACTTTTTCTCGTCACCTATATTAGTTCAATATTAGTTCAATACCTATATTAGTTCAATTAGTCATACGTCTTTATAAGCAATTACATAGTTTTAAGCAATGCGTTTTTAAACGAATGGTAAGTACCTACTGTTATTTAAATGCCTTTTTAACGTTATAATCACATATTCCTGACATTGGTGATCGTCAAGGCCCAAAATAGTGATGACCGTATTGACCGAACACAAGTCGACGGATTTGTACGCTTGACAGTAAAAGTCGATCAAATAAATTAATTAACGTGGTAACAAGCCATGTCAAAGCGTTCTGCGGCCAAAATCTCGAATTAACCCATGAAATATGCGTACGGAGATGAGGCAAAATGACTCGAGCTGACCACACGTTTTCATTTTTGTTCTCAGACCCATAGGCGGCGGAACGGGGAGGGCACCGGGGCACCGTGCCCCCCTTTGATTTTGGCATTTTAACATTAGCCCTATGGGCGTTGCATGGAAAGAATGGGACCAAAAGTCGGCAGTGCCCCCCCCCCCTTGCTTGATGGTGTTCCGCCGCTACTGCTCAGACCTTTGACATGTTTGATTGATTGCTTGGTTGATTATCGCGCATTGGTAAGCATCGTAGTGCATTTAATTAATATCGCACGCTTGATAAATATCAAGTGCAGGTAGGAACTAAATAGCAGAGGATAATGGTCCAAGGTAAACTAAAACATCGCAGCCGTGTGACGCATCCTAATTCATTTGTCGATGACGTCCTTCACGTAAACCGACCTTTTTCTGTGTGTTTGCAGGGCAGCAATATCGAAGGCGGTCTGGTGGTAGCGCCCTGGCCAACCTTTACCATCGATGACCTGGAGGAGCTGGAGAACCAAAACGAACTTCACATTGACGACGACGATGACTTCGAAAAGGACATTCCCGCCGATGACTCAAAACAGGACCACGATGCGTCTGAGGGTGAAGACATAAACGACGGCTATGTCGTCGAACCTGACAGCTTTCCAAGTCCAACTCGTAACGACGGAACATCGAACGAAGATCTCCTTGCGCAAGGTGAGCTGTACGAAGAGCTTCTGCGTCTTCGGGAGACCGAGCGTGAGCTGCTCGAGCTGCAGTATCAGCTCGCCGCGGAGGGTCGCGAAGGCAGGGCCGTCTCGACCGGAGGAAGGTCCAACAGGGTAATGGACCGCTATCCACATATGCAGGGCTCTGGCATGGCTGATATGAGCCAAATCGATGAAGAATCGCCAGCGGTCGGTGATGTTGAGAAGGCCAAAGCGACCCCGACTGGCCACGGGGACCTGTCCGTTGGAGGTGCACATCTGAGGAGATCCGATGAGCTGGGTTCTCGCAGTGAGCCAGATGACGATCTGCCCGTGCCACACATCTGTCCCAGCAGATCCATGTGCGTCCCGTGGAATCTCTGCGACGCATGGCAAGTCCTCTTCGACGCCGAGTCGTCCCAGGAAAAGGTGAATGGAGTGGGCTGGAACGTTTATCATTTATATTTCGTTAATGTGACAACTTTTGTCAGCAATATTTGACAACGACGTTTACGACTGTTTCTTCTTCTTTTTTTCAGGAGTACCTCTGTGGTCTGACCGAAGACTCTGAGATGTTTGTATGCTGCCGACGGCCCAGCTTCCTGGCGGATCAGGAGACGGGAGCCCCTGCCCCGGCTCCAGCTGCAGACGCAGCAAATGGTGCCGGTCCAGCTGCGGGGTCTCCACCTGGCTCTGCATCTGCTTCTGATCCCAGTTCTCGTGTTGCTGAGGATACCGTGCCCGATTCGGACGTGGTTCAGCTACCCTTGGACCACTTGGCGGAGCTTTTCTCGGCGTTTTCTCCTCCCCCTTCTCAGCATGCAACGACCGCTGCCCCAACAACGAATCGCGGGAGTTCGGATGGTTTAGGAAGTCACGGTCACTACTTGGAGGGCGTTCTCCTGAAAGAGCGTCCGAAGCGAGAGATCCAACCGCCGCCACCGTCACAGGGACGCGTCATCTACCCCTCTCAGATCGCTGCCGAGAGGCTGAGAGAGGTGCAACGAGCGGCAGCGGCTGCTGATGGGCAGGGTGGTGACAGCGAGGGAACGCCCTTCAGGAACACCCTCGGAGGAAGGCTGAAGCCAGCGGGATCACTTGGGACTGTGAAGCTGGGAGGTCTCACCCCGCCGCCGCCCAGGCCGTCTAGTAGGCCTGATGTGAGGCGTGAGCTCCCTATTCTGCCCCCGCTACCGTCGCCAGCGCCCATTCCTGCTCCAACCCAGTCACCACCACTGCCTTCGCCTCCAGCACATTCGAACGTTGAACAAGAGCATGAAGAAGCTGTGTCTGCAGGAGTAGCGCCCGCAGGAGCGGTGCCTGAGGCGCACGAGGAGACTGCGGTTCCACAGAAGATCGCGGTGACGCCGAGGACGGTTCCTCAGTTGGAGGATGTGGACATTCGGCCGCTGCGGGCCGAGATGTGGCGCGGGATGGGCCCGGATGTCCCGGTTGGACCTGTTGGTCGCTCCGCCGCTGGTGACGCCGACAGTCGTTCCGTGAATTCCTTGGACGCTGAGGAAGAAACTGAGAACAAGCCAGGAAGCCTGCTCAGTAGGATCCTAGACAGTCTACCGGGCGGGTCAGTCTCCTCACGACATGGCAGCCAGCAGGGGCAGGAGACTCCCCGGGGTCGGTTCTTCGGGGCTCCACGGCCGCCACTGCCGCTGCACCGTCCGACCCAGCCTCCCCGACACGGTGCACGACCTCCCTTCCACCAGCCGGAGCCCTTCCAGCCTGATCACTTCCAACCGGGACGCTTCCAACCGGATCATTTCCAACCCGGGAACTTCCAGCCTGGCTTCCAGCCAGGCTTCCAGCCTGATCATTTCCAGCCTGGTAACTTCCAACCGGGACATTTCCAGCCGGAGCACTTCCAGCCCGGCGGGCACGGTCCGGGAACTGGACCGCACGTGGATCAGGTCCACCCAGACAAGACGCAGCACTTCAATGTCCACGAGAGGCCGCCGCACCAGCAAACTGTGCATCAGAGGCCGGGGCAACATCAGCCTCCACACCACCAACAGGTCAGTCGGAGGTTTGCCTGACCGCTGGCTGAGGGATGCAGTAAACGCTCACGGTTTGAGATTTGAAAGAGTAAAGTGATAACCGTCCTTTTGTGTGTGGGAAGACTTTCGGACCTCGTTTGCTCGATGATCCATCTTCTGAAGGGTGAGAGGCTGAAGGACGAACTGAGAGGGATATGCGTGATAAGCACCTTGGCTAAGTTCTTCACGGCTTTACTTGTTGCTGATGACCATCCCCTATGCTTCGTTTTCCAGCCAGCCCTGTCCGCGCAGTGCGGTCGCGGCGCGGAGGTCGGTCTTCACGCTCGAGTGACCACTCAGCGGGGCGAGGACGGTGTCACCGGCTACGGCGAGTATCCGTGGCACGTGGCCGTACTGACGGTGGACCTGACCTACCTCTGCGCCGGCGTGCTGGTGGCGCCGAGACTCGTGCTGACTGTGGCCCACTGCGTGACGCCCCTACCGGCCGGTACCCCGCTGGTGGTCCGTGTGGGCGACTGGGACCTGGCCTCGGAACGGGAGCTCTACCCGGCCTACGATGTGGAGGTGGTGCGCGCCGTGGTCCATCCAGGTGGGTTGGGGATGTTTGGTTGTGCGCGCTACCGAGGCTGGTTGCGGGAGCGTTGAAATAGAGGCAATCTATCGCTAAATATGAATGTTCGGTGGCTGTGTGTCGAGCAAGGCAGGATAGGTAATATATATCAACGTTACCCATGTCGAGGCTCTCGGGAGTCGGAACGCTTCGTTGTAATCGATTATTTTCATCATTTCGACATGGCATGTCAAAAAACTGTGCTTCTTTCGGCAGAGTTTTACGCGGGTAACCTGCAGAACGACATGGCGCTTCTGCTGCTGGACCCGCCGGTGGAGGGCCTGCCGCACGTGCAGCCGGCCTGCCTGCCGCCGCCGCACGCCCAGTTCGACCACCAGCACTGCTGGGTACCGGGCTGGGGTCAGGCGCGACACGTCTCCGGCGACATCCACGATCCGAGCTCCTACAGCTGGGTGCTGCGCGAGGCACCAGTCGCAGTGGTGACGCCCGGAGCGTGCCAGCACCACCTGCGCACCACGCACCTGGGACCCTTCTACCAGCTGCCGAGGCGCGGTGTGCTCTGCGCCGCCGGCCGCAGCGGCAGCGATGCGTGCTTCGGGGACGGCGGCGGCGCACTCGTCTGTCCTCTGAAGGAGGACGGGCCCGACGGGCCGCTCTACGCTGCAGGTGGGTGCTAGCGGATCACTCTACGCTGCAGGTGGGTGTTAGCGGACCACGCTACGCTGCAGATGGGTGTTTGCGGGACGTTCTACGCTGCAGGTGGGTGCTAGCGGGCCGCTTTACGCTTCGGGCGGATGATAAACTGGTCCTGGTGGGTGATAAGCCGCTGGTGTTTTTGTTAGCTGGCTGCTGCACTTGTAAGATCTTCTAAACGGACTTTTTTACAGATACCTATACTGAAACGTACCGTTCAATTTGCAGGAACCAGTAAACGGTCATCGGTGTCTTATGCTTCACAACACTAAGTAACTCTTCGTCGCACCTCCCCCAGGTCTTGTGTCCTGGGGCATCGGCTGTGGCCAGGACATCCCCGCCGTCTACACCAAGGTCTCTGACTACCACGGTTGGATCGTCTCCGTGCTGGAGGACCTGGAACGGAGCGTCCAGTTTCAGCACGTTCCGGGAGCTGGGCACCCCCGAGAAGCCGGCAGAGAGGGCCTGAAGGCGTAGTCGGTCTGTGATGCTCTGTGTCTATGCGGGAGGGCTGTGATAGAGCGATATGATATGCGGTGTCTTCGGTTAGTCACCGATATATTTGTTGGGAACTTGTCGAACTGACTTGTGCATGGCTGTTATGGTGCATTGTCTCCGTGAATGAGTCACTTAGGTGAACGGAACGGCAGTCTGTGTCGTCAATCATGTGACTATGTGAATAACATGCAACATCGACTCGCTCAGTGGTTTGTGGTGTGGATCATGGATGTAAGCTCTGCGGAAAGGTTGGTCGCTTCTAGGGTGCGCTAAAGATCTTCGACGTAGGTACGTTTTTTCGGCTACTAACGTTTTTTCGGTTAGTCGTTTATTGTTTTCGTTTCGTTTATTGTTTCGTTTCGTTTATTGTTATAGCCGTTTATTGTTTTCGGAAACGAAAACAATAAACGACTAGTACCTAGCCGAAAAAACGTACATCGAATTACAATGTCTAGTCGTAAAAGTTTGAAATCACACGCTAAAGATCTTACTGGCATTGTGCTGAAACACTATTTTTAGTAGCTTTTCCTTACAGCTCGAGTTCAAATATTACCAAAATTTAAAACAGTCACCGCGTTTATAATATTAATTGATGGGATCAATCATTGGATGTCCCATTCGTCTTCGATAGGGAGTTTCAGGGATTTTTTTTTCTAAAATTAATGTGTAATTTAACGGTTAGGTACAGCGATAAGTAGTCGGGCGCTTTCGCATCCCGTTCGCCGACCAGACTACGATGGGCAGTCTAGGCAGGACCGAACGCTGGGCACCACAGGACAGGGATGTAACCATAGTCATAAACTGTCGCCGGCCGAGGGTTCCCAATTTAAAGGTCTCTGATCAACCGGTGATCTCTAATATCAGGTCACGTGGCCCAAGGGACGGGCTCAAATTTTGGTAAAAAAAACTTCGCCAAAACAGGTCGCAGAGCCGCAATTGGCACCATCGCGTTTGCATTGCTCAGGCGCATTAAATATAACTTTTGGCATTGTTTTTACTTCTTCGAGGATAAGGTTAACTATTCTTCACGATTCCGTGTGCTCGAGATAGTATCATATAGTTCGTTTTTTCTAAGTTCGACCCTCACTGTAAACATCTTTTTGAGCATAGCACGAGAATTGCTAGCTGAATTACTAAGAAAACTGGTTAGCGCACATTGTACTGCAGACATGAATAATATTTTCCAAATAAGTTTTAAAAACCGATGATGTACCGTTTTGTTAAACGCCGTACGATCTATTGATCAGTTCAGTTATAATTTCTGACAAAATGACTATTCCTGTGGGGTTGTATATAAAGGCACCTACGAGCTAGGAGTCTGGGAAATAAGAGCCAGGAAGAAATAATTTTGAGTAAAATTAATCGTCTGTGAAATCAATGTGCGCCAGCCAGTTTTCTAAGTAATTCAGCTAGCAATTCTCGTGCTGTGTTCAAAGAGACGATTACAGTGAGGGTCGAACTTAAGAAAAACGAACTATAGCTTTAGATCGTTCCCGGCGCAAAAATAGCAGTTTGCAATTTTCCCCATTGACTTACCTGTAATGCTAGGGTCACGTGACCGACCTAACCTCAGCTGACCTCTAGGAAAAATGCGAGATATACAGGTTGAGAGACCTCTCTATTCTCTGGGATAATAGGACCTGTAAGTTTCATCCTCTGTAAAAGCTCCTTGGCACTGAGGGTTTCGCGAAATTGAGACTTTTTAGGATCGTGCAGACGCTGTGGTTCATTTATAACGATATAGGTCAGTGAATCGACCTGACCTGAAAATGTGGTTAGTGTTTATAGACCCGTCTTGAATCAAAGGCAAGGTACCTATGCCTAGTTCCATTTCTTTATCTCCGGCGTGTTCTGAGTTATCGCGAAAAACCCTATGGGGGGCACCCAACCTCTCCTCGGTCAGCTAGGGTTGATAACGTATTGTAACGGAATATATTATTTACGACATGTAGACTTCAAAATAATTGACCCGCGCCCCACTGGGGTCTGTGTATACGCGCCCTACTGGGGGGGGGGGGGGGCTATTCGTAGCCCCCCTCCTAACTCCAAAACTACTGGGCTGATCGTCAAAGTTCATCTAATAGCCCCGGAAAACTGTCGAGCGAAACCTAATTTCATTGACCTCGAGGTCACCGATGACGTCACAGGTCAGGTCAAAGTAAAAATTATCGATGTTTGGCTTGTTCACATTTAAGGCTCTGGCTGCCGTCTTACAAGTCAGATCAGGCTAATTTGTGGTTCGTGAACAAATGCTTTAGATACTCTGAGGGTACCAAACTTGTACTTTGATTTTCAGGTCAGGGTCATGTCATCATAGGTCACGGAAATTTTATGTCATAAGTCGGTCACGTGACACATTTTTTATGGTTCATTTAGGCCATATATTTCGAATTCGGTGTTGCCTGTGTTATTTGAGGCCATTTTCATCTGAATATAGCTGAGGTCAGGTCACTTTCAGGTCAAAAAGGTCAAATTTTAAAATTGAAATTTTTCAACAAAAACATGTCTATCGGATGTTTGAGCTCAGAAACACGATGGTGCTATTTATATTGGTGTGCAATGTCAAATTCGTACAGAAAAATTGATTTGAAAAAAAAATAAATTGTGAAATTTTTGCTATATAATGCGTATAACTTGGCCATGTTTGAAGATATCTGCCTAAAACTTGCTAGAGTAAGTCATAAGCATGTGTTCTATCATATACAGTGGCGCGGGAACTTCTTCCAGACGGGGGGGGGGGGGCTGAACCATAATAGAGATTAACCTAGGGTGCCCCCAAATCTAGTTTTCTCACCGGTTTTAGGCCACTTATTTTTCAGATCTTGGCCTTTTCAACAAAAAAAACGAAAATATTTGCAAAAAAGGCAGGTATTCCGTCTCAGCTGAGTGAAGAAACTACCGTTTTGGCAGCCTGGAATAAAGGTTTTAATCTGCCAAATGAGTTGCCGAGCCAGTGAAAGAGGTGGATTTTTCACTTACATGCTTTCTTCCTTTGTGACCCACAACCCCTAATTTGGGGAGGACAAGCTGCCTCAACGGTTCCTGACCTCATGAAAAGTTGTGGGGCACCACCCCCACGGCCCCAGAGCTGTGGGGGCAATCTTCCCCCACTGCCCCCTCCCCTGGTTTCCGCGCCTATGTATGAATCTATGAAATTATTTTGGTAGATTTCCTATTTCGATTCCTCCAGCTGGGGGGGGGGGGGGCTCAAACACATTACGAGCCCCCCCAGCCGAAAAGTTGGAGGGCTCAGCCCCCGCTAGGGTTCCCGCGCCACTGTTCATATATATTTCGTTTTTTGACAAGTCTATCTATAATGCGTATAACTTGGCCATGTTTGAGGATATCTGCCTAAAACTTGCTAGAGTAAGTCATAAGCATGTGTTCTATCATATATATTCCGTTTTTTGAAAAGTCTATCTTTTTGAAAAAAAGATAAAAATACAAATTTTGAATTTAATTATATATATATATATATATATATATATATATATATATATATATATATATATATAATTTTCAAAATTTTCAAAATTTTCAAAATTCGAGATAGCAGTTTGATAGCACAGTCCATTTTGAGTCCTCTCATGCAAAGAAATCGGATCTACCTCAAAAACTGAGCTCTTGTGATTGATTCCCGTGGTTCAATGTTTTGCGTCGAAATCGGCCGAACATGATGCCACTCTGACGTCATTTCCGGCTGACCTATGATAGATACGAAGTTCAAATTTTGACACAATGTGTCAAATTGATGCAGCCGAAGGTACTGAAAGTTTGGCGGCGATACGTCAAGCGGTTAAGAAGTTATTGCAGAAAAACGGGAGGGGGCTATGAATAGCCCTCCCCCAGTGGGGCGCGGGTTAACATACTTAACATATTAGCATATAGTCCACGAGTTATCATAGACTATATTATATTCCGTGGTAATTAACGTATATTGCAGACGTTCCAACACGTTAGCTGGCATACAATCGGTGCCGTTGAGACTCGAGGATGCAGAATAACGAAAGCGGCAGCGAAGGATGCCCGCATGGCCACGCAACTGTTGCATCGTGTTACCTACCTAGGTCCTGACGTAACCAATGTAAAATTTCTCCAGAGAATGACCGACTAGACGGTAGGTGCCTGATGATGCCTGGCTGCATGGAAAAACACGGGCTTTGACACTCAACTACTAATGTGCCGCATACCTCAACCTAGCTTACTTGTTACAAAAGGTTGGAACTTGGATGGAAGACAAGTCAAAAGTTCTAGGATTTTCAAGCATGCTGGGCTTTGCTTTAATTCATATTTGAATATACTAGGCAGCTGGTGCCTACATATACCATGCCCACAAACACATTTTGCAATCTGCATTGTATGTAACGTTTACGCGCATATAATGAGGGTTCATGGGCTAAAATGTTGCCGCTCTAATTCTAGTAGCGGGAGAATGAATCCTGAAGATGTTCTTGTCATGCCGTAATCAAACAAGCGTTTGTAAACTTCAAAATAATAACAATTTCTTTAAGATATCATATGCATACATGTATTCAAATATACCTCAAATTTGCAGCGAATTCAAAATGAATTAAAATCGATAAAACAATCGATCTCAGCGCCACGTCACTACGCTGCATTTTTCGGAGCCGTGGCGATCGTGGAGGGAGACCTCGTGGGACCCATGCTGGGTTTTCTCGGCTAAATTATGTTTTTGGCGATGGTACGTGAGTGATACAATTTGTTTTCTGTCAAAAATCTAATTCTCTTTCCTTATGTATGTGTTTCAAAGTCGACTGATGCTGATCCTACAACTGAGACGCACGCGGCGCGGCGTTTTGCTCGATACCCCCCGGCGTCAAGAACCTTGCTTGTTCATGAAATTCGTGAGAAAGGAATTTTTATGACTTTCTATGACTCAAATCGTTTTCTGTACATGCTGTATGTCGGGGGTATCATGCAATGTAGCATATCCTGCTTCAAGTTCAATTGGAAGCCTTGGCATTTGGGGATCAAGATATTGTGGAAAATGTTGTATAAAATCTTGTGATTTTTTTGGTATTTTATGTAATATAAAATATGTTTTAGATCTGTGGATAGATTATAACAGTAATGTTTTTTCACAATCAAAATACAATAATTAAATAAAACCAGACCTCTCGGACAGCAAAGCGCCTTAGTCAGTGGAAAATAATAATTAAGGCTTTACATCGATAAAATATAGATA